ATATTTATTTAAACATACTTAATAAATTCATTAGTGTAATAATAAAAAATATGTATTTTTAAAATTAAGTGAAAAAAATATTAAAAAAATTAAAATATAAAAATTATATTTTATATTTTCTCTCAATATTTATATCTGTTTTATGCAACTTGTCAGCAAGATAAAGGTTAAGTGTTGAAGAGAGTGCACATGGGCGAGTGCCCATTGCACTGCTCAATAAAATTTGATGAAGGTTTACAGCTATTTCCCTGTCCCCGGTGCAGGTGTTATTTTTGTTAAATATAATTGCCACATGTCACTGTTAGAGCCGTGTGTGCCCAAAAGAGTGCAGCGACTGCCCTAAGCACTGCTCATATAATAAAAAATGTCCAGTTCTATTTAATGGACGAAATTTTAACAGTAGGGCTAGTGAATCCGGAAGAAATCAATTTCAACTGTTAATTGTACGACGGTTGTCTCAAAGAAAACAAATGCAATGCAAAATAAGAAAATGTTGTTTTGCAGTCCCCTTATTGTTGAATTGCAATTAACTTTTTTTGAAAAAATAACACAAAAGCAAAATATTTATGTACTAAAAAATTATAATAATATAGTTATAATGATATATAAAATTATAAATTTATAATTTTAAGTAATATTAAATAAAATATAATATAACATCAAATAAATAGATATATATAATATATGAATTAATATTTATATAAAAAATAATTATATAATAATATATTTTATTATAAATTTATAATATTACGTAATATTATAATTATAATATTTTTATTAAATAAATAATAATTCTAATTTTTTAAAAAAATAAAAAAATCTATTTAAAGAATACTAGAGATATTCAAATCCATAAATATCTCGAGTTTAGTTGGTATGACCACAGCCTACTGATTATAATGTTGATTTAGAGTGTTCTGTTATCAGGCATCTTCTTGAATTTTGGCACCAATCAAAGTTGGAACAAGGCAACCATCAAAATTTCCGCAGATCCAAGAATATGAGTGGCTTTGAATCATCCTGAACACGTCATCTTCAGTCATTTTGTTGTTACTGAAAGTTACAACGTTTCTTGCATACCAAATTGACTAGACTGTTGCCTACTAGACAATTTGCCATCCCTTACTGTTTTGAGCTGCCCATTTGGGCTGACTAAATGCTTTCCTACTATTATTGTGGATAACATACCAAATACCCTACCATTCAAATCATTTTGCCCATATTTTAAAAGAAAAATCGCACTAAAGCGTAAGTTGATTTGTATCTTCAATCATATTTCCACAAAAAGCACATCTTGCAACAGCGCCATCAGTAATAATGTTCCTCCTAAAAAGATTATCCTTGCTTGGAATGCGATCTCGAAGCAAAAGCCACAAAAAAGTACAGACTTGGCACTAGAGAGTGCCAACATCAGCAACCTCAAGTATTAGGAGTTTGTAATGACAGTTCTAGCTTCAAAATTAACAACTAAGAAAATATCAATCCTTTTTAGGGGTCACAACGAGGCTCACGGAATCGAGGAATCCCTCTCGTCTTTGTTCCTGCAAATGGATCTTATGAAGATTTTTGATAGGGGTAAATTTTATTTTTTGTTTTCGTTTTTCGTTAATTTATATTAAAATATAAATTTTTTTACTTATAATTAATTGATATTAATTATAATGAATAAAATTTTAAAAGTTTAAATATAATTCATTAAAAATTTTTAAACATAAAATCAAATATAAATAATTATACCAACAAATTTATTTTTTATACAACAGTAATAATATCTAGATTCAACCTTTATAGAGTGTAAAAATATAATTAGTTATAATTAATAAAGTTAATAAATAAGTGATAAAATTAAATATAAATTATCTAAATATAAATAAAAATCAATTTAACATATATAATTAAATTAAATTTAAAATATATCGATATATTAAATTAAATTAAATTAAAAATAAAATTAATTTATATATATTTTATAAAATTTTCACAAGAATAGAGATCCTCGCGGCCTGTGAAGCAGAAAAAATTCTCCACGTAAATTTACAGGTAGAAGCTCCCCTCGTCCTTGCCCCACAGAGGAATATTCCTCCCATGGCCGTGATCCCAGGGGTGAAATTGCCATCCTTAATCCTCTGTGTCGTGGGCAAATGACAATTATTACACAGGAAATTAAACAAACCAGAAGGCAAATCATGCAAATAAGCCCCTAAATGTGTTAATTGTTGGCATATTAGCTCCTCAACCGAAATCAAACGCATTCAGCACCCTAAACTCTTAGATGGTGGCAAAAGAGCCCTTATTTAATGGGGACGTTATCTTTCCGTCCATATTTGCTTACATGGCTTTTTCTGGGCCCACTTTTAGTTTTTGTATGCTTAAGTGGACATTTATGAACCCACTCAATGAATAAAAAATATAATTAATTAATGAAGAGAATTTTTATATAAAGAAATTTGGTATATTATATTTATATAAAATTTTAATTATTTTTTAATTAATATTTTAATTAATAAATAATTAAAATTTTATATAAATATAATATATAAAATTTATGGGTAAATAAATTTTATTATTAATTAATTAATATAAAATATCAATATGTTGATTTTTTTTATTTAAGAAAACATCAAAAACTGAAAAACGGAAAACTAAAAACTCTTTTGAACGGTTATGGTTGGAGGTAGGAGGTGGCTGTCCGGCTTCGGCGACCACCACCAACAATTGCAAACTATTTGTTTTTTTAATCTGATTTTCCAGATTTGTTGCAGAAAAAAAAATGAATTCCACCACCTAAAATTCACGTTTTTTATTCAAATTGAAGAACCCACTAAAACGATTGCTCAAAATTGAAAAGGGAAAATAGAGAAGGGAAAGAAGGAAAATAACAAAAAAGAAGAAGGGAGAAAAACTATGTAACCATCTTCATTAATAGTACACAAGGAAAAGAACAAAAAAGAACAAAGAAGAAAAACTTTGTAATCATCTCCATTAATAGTACACATTTTCTCTTTCAACCGAATCAACAAAAAATAACAAAGGAATCATAGACAAAATCAAGCAACCACAAGGACTGAAACCTCAACTATATAGCTACTTGTTGGGAATCCACTGAACACAAACTATGTTTGGCTAAATTTTTCTAGAGTTTTACTGCCCAATATAGACCAGAGCTTGTTGTTCGGTAGCCATGAGGTCCTTTTCAAACTAAGCTCACTGCATGGAGACTGTAGTGGTGGTAGACAGAGGTCATGAGGTATCAGAGGTATGTGGTATGATAGAGGTCATGAGGTATCAGAGGTATGTGGGTTGACAGAGGTCATGAGGTATCATAGGTACGTAGACAATCAGAGGTCATGAGATGAAGCATGTTGCCAGTCCGAAGTCGCGTACTTCGTAGCTGCCCAAGATACGCAACCTCGGACACCTGGAGCGGCTCCCGACATCTAGTCACCTCGATTCGATCGTAGGACGACGAGCTCTGTCGGGCTCAAGCTCGTCCCCTCTGCTCCCACTCCACAGTAGTTTCGTACACAAGCAAACCCCTCATGTGAAGCTCCTGTGATGTTTGACACGTGTTGCCTGGGTTTCTCGGAGGGATCGACACGTGTACATCCCCCTGAAGGCCTATAAATACCCCTCAGGGTCCATCTCAGAAAGGTATTGGAAACCGACCTCAAACTCAGCTTTTACTCTCGCTCCATAACTAGTAGCTCTGATTATTGTTGACTTAAGCATCGGAGTGTTTACCCCGAGAACCAACCTTGGGGCCTTGCAGGATAGCCGAAGTGAAGACTTGAGATTCGGAGTACCTCCCAGTTTTCTGCAACTACATTGGCGCCGTCTGTGGGAACCCAAGCTAAAAGCCTTTGCTAGTGGTTGTTACGATGGTTAACACGCGCTCAACGTACCACGGAAGTCCCCAGCAAGGGCACGGAAGAGATCAGCTCCTCCGCGAGAACCCCACATCCTACCCTGCACCACCCCCTACAGTTCAGCACCAACAGGCAGAAGGGGCAGGGGAAAATGATCCGAACCCAGTAGAGATCCTAAATGACCCCCTAAATCTCATTCCCATGTGGCACCTCAACCTCGGCAACCATCCCAACCGGCTGTCTCAGATCTTCCCAACCAACCACACTTAGAACAAGTGGTGCCCGACAATCGAAGCCCCCAAATCCCGGTTCAGCTAAGTTCTGCCCTTATCCCCACCCTCCTCAACACCAACATCATTCATGAACCTTACCCACCTGGGTTTAGAATGCCTCAGCTCGAGACATATGATGGTACCAAGGACCCTGACGATCACTTGCACGCGTTCTATTCCGTCATACAAGCTCAAAATGCCTCAGACGCCTTGATGTGCAAAATATTCCCTTCTACCCTACGTGGAAACGCGCGGACTTGGTATTACAGTTTGCTGCCAAGCTCGATCAGTTCTTATGCCGAACTGGCGGCGTCCTTTGCCACGAAGTTTTCCAGTCGCCGGCTAATAAAAAAAACAACATCCGAGCTCATGCGGGTGGCCCAGAAAGAAGGTGAATCCTTAAAGAATTACATGAATAGATTTAATGATGCAGTGCTGGAGATCGGCTCATTCAGCCAAGTTGTCGAGTTAGCTGCATTAACCCAAGGCCTCAAGCATGAGAGGTTTCGAGATAGCCTCATAAAGCACGCCCCTTCCACGTTTGATGAAGCCAATGAAAGATCCTAGAAATTTATCCAAGCTGAGGAATATGCCCTGTCTGGCAAACCAGCTCCAAATGAAGAGGTCAGACCTCCGATCTGGAGAGATGAAGGACAGAACAAGAAAAGATTTAAACCTTCACAATATCGGGGCCCCTTCCCACCTAAGCTGGACAGACCTCCAGTACCTACCCCACAGCCTATGGCAAAGCAAGTTGCTTGGACTCCGTTTAACCTGCCGAGGTCACAGATCTTAATGCAGATCAAAAACAAAATGGAGCTCAGAAGGCCTCTTCCTATGCGAAGCTCACCCGCCTCAAGAGATCAGAGCAGATATTGTGATTTCCACTAGGATCACGGGCACACCATGGAGGAATGCAACAGCTTGAAGTCCGAGCTTGAGGGTTTAGCTCGGAAAGGGTTGCTAAATGAGTACGTCTCTAATAGGGACCAGCTCAAGTTCGTCCGGGAGCAAGGGTGACCTCAGTCATCTCGAGATGCAAACAACCGACTTGGAGTTGGATATCAACAAGCACCACCTCCACTCCCTCTGCCCTCACGCATCATTCACATGATAACAGGAGGGCTAGAAGCCAGAGGGACGAGCTCAAAGCAGCAAAAGCTATATGTGCGAGAGGTGAAGCATCCCAACCGGGCTCAAAAAAGAAAATTTGACGAAACAGACTTGAGGAACCAACCCATAACATTCAGTTCCGCTGATTTTGATGGTGTTGTCACACACACAATGATCCGCTGGTCACCTCGGTCATAGTCAATAATTGCGAAGTTCAGCGCGTCCTTGTAGACACAAGAAGTGCTCTGGACATCATGTACTATCACTGCTTCGAAAGCCTTGGCCTCGAACTTGCCCTTCTACAGAAGTATGACGGCCCCATCTACGGCTTCAACAACCAGCCAGTGCCTGTCGAAGGAATCCTCAAACTTAATGTAGCATTTGGCTCAAGTCGAACCTATGTCACCCCCTCAGTCCGGTTTTTGGTAGTAAAGATGGCGTCATCCTTTAACATCATCATTGGAAGGTCAACCCTGACTGAAATTAGGGCAGTTGTTTCACCATCCCACCTCTGCCTGAAATTTCCCACCCCCACGGGCGTGGCGACGTTGAGGGGAAATCAAGAGATAGCCCGGCACTGCTACATGACTTTGGTCTCCCGACCTCGGAGGGACAAACAAGTGGCAAACTCAGAGCCAACTCAGCTTGAAGTCCCAACCACACAGCAAGTAATGGGTGTGGAATTGTTGGATAACAGACCTAAAGGCGAAGCTAGAGCCACTCCGGCAGAAGAGGTGGAGGAGGTGCGGCTTGACGACAATGATCCCACTAAAAAGACAAAGATCGGCACCAAGCTGAGCTCCAAAGACCGGGTAGAGCTCATTGACTTTCTGAAATCAAACAGAGACGTGTTTGCCTAGACTTCAGCTGATATGCCAGGCCTACCCACCTCGATTGCGGTCCACAAGTTAAGCACTCACCCCTTGAAGAAGCTCGTAGCCCAGAAAAGACGCCTTTTCGGCGGAGAGCGGTTGGAAACCATCAAGTCAGAAGTACAAAAACTCCTGCAAGCCGAGTTTGTAAGAAGGGTAGACTAGTGCGAATGGGTTGCCAATCCCGTTCTAGTCAAGAAGTCAAACGACCAATGGAGAATGTGCGTTGACTACATGAATCTGAATGACGCTTGCCCCAAGGACTGCCATCCCCTGCCGAGTATAGATAGGCTAGTGGAATCCGCGTCCGGAAATGAACGACTTAGCCTTTTGGACGCTTACTCAGGGTATCACCAGGTCCACTTGGCCCTCAAAGACGAGGTGAAGACCTCTTTCTACGCAGGCGACGAGATCTACTACTATGTAATGATGCCGTTCAGGCTCAAGAACGCCGGGGCCACATACCAGAAGATGGTGACGATTGTGTTCCGAGCTCAGATCGGCAGAAATCTTGAAGTCTACATTGACGACATAGTAGTTAAAAGCCTTAAGGCAAAGGACCACCTAACTGACTTGGCAGAAACATTTAACAACCTCAGAACACACCGCATTAGATTGAACCCAGCCAAGTGTGTCTTTGGTGTTGAATCTGGCAAATTCCTCGGGTTCATGGTCTCCAGGAGAGGGATCGAAGTTAACCCTGAGAAAATCAAGGCGATAGAAGAGATGAAGCCCCCAAAGTCAATTAAGGACGTGCAGCGCTTAGCCGGGAGAATCGCAGCTCTGCACAGGTTTGTATCGAAGTCTGTAGAAAAATGCCTGCCGTTCTTCAAAATCCTGAGATCCGTCGCCCATAAAGACGAGGCAGGGAAGTCCAAGAAGTTTGAATGGACCTCAAAGTGCCAAACTGCCTTCAATGACCTCAAGTCCTCCCTGACCCTCTCCAACTCCGAGGTCAGTTCACTGAAGTTCTTCTTCGCCTCCTCCTTCTGGCGGCTGAGCTCTTCGTTCTTTTTCACCAAGGCAATCTGCTCTTGGAGGCAGTTAAAGAACTCAACCGCCATTGCATTCACCAAATTTGCGGTCTGCATAGAGGTCGAACTCAGTAAAAAAAAAAAATAATAATAATAATAACAAACAATTAACTAAAAACTAAAAACTAAAATAGGAGCTCACCTCCAGGGCCTGCCGAACTACCCCAAACCCCCCATTGGCAGCCACCTCATCCTTTGCACTCTGCAGGTCCACCTCGGGGAAGTGGGCGCCAATGAAGCGCTTTGCAGCCGTCCTCCCCGAATCGTAGAAGCTGGCCACCTGCCTGGAGTAGGGAACGGAGCTCTTCCCCCTGCCAAGCACCACCACCTCAGTTACCTGAAGTTCCGGGTTGATCTGCACTAGGGCTGGCCGAGGTACGAACTCGACCGGGGCCTCAATCTGCAGAGGCTGCACCTCCTCCACCCTTGGCCTCTTTCGGGCGATGACCTCCTCAGTTATACCCCTCCTGGGCTCAGAGCTGGGCCCCACCTCAGCTCGAGGCCTTGATACCTCACCCCCAACTCGCTCCTCTTGAGCACCCGGGGCTGAGGCCCTTGACCTCTTCTCCGGAAGTCGCACTGGTTTGCCCCCAGCTCTCAAACGATTCATCTCTTCTGCAAACCCAAACGAAGTAAAAAATTGTAATCAGACTCCTACTTTACAAAGCACTTTACTTCAATTAACACGGACCTCTGCTCAGCGAGCTCCTCCCATAGATTCCAGACGACTCCACCACCTCTGGATTGGTGAGGTACATTATGTTCGCCATCTCCCCCCCATCCCTTTCCAACCTCTTAACCTCGTCCTTCTCCACCT